AGCTTCATTGTGTGTGACTGCATTGAAATACTGGACAGAATGAATAAAATACAAGTTAAAATAAGTCTGTTCAATTGTCAACAATTTTTACCTGAAGAACCCATTCTTCATCTGTTGAGAATATACATCATAAACCGTGAATTTGCTTCTGGGACTTGCTTCTGTATTACTTGTCCTTAATATTCAGTTAGAAACTGATGATACAAAGATAGTTTAAGAAAACACATTTGGAAATGAAAAACATATGACACAAATGTTAAATGCGGGTGGTTGGGAGTTGGGGGAGAGACTAAGTGCATAAAAACCGTTAGAGAAGTATACATTTGCAGAATTTCTTGGGATAAAGAAGAATGAATTTTCCTTGGGCTGAGTTTCCTCGGACCATGTACAACCTGTGTAATCTTGCCAAGCTCCCCCTGCAAAAGAGCTTCCTGCTGCAGTGAGACAACGCTAGAAGATAGGTTCCAGGGGATGCAGTCAGTTGTCACGCCTAAGTGAAGGCTCTCAGGGAACAAGCAGGATGCTGTTGGTCTCACCCAGGATGAGTGCAGTAATAAGTTCCCTGTGGGTGGTCACAAACGGACCTACATGAGGACGATTCCATGTCTGCAAATCCTGCCCATCACTGGAGCAGCCCACAGACAGGATGAGGTGGTGCAGTCGTGAAGCCAGCCACATCCCTCTTTCCCTAATGCAGGCTTCTGGATAAGAACACAACTTCTGCTGGGAGGGAGAGAAAGCAAAATTTAAACTGCTTGAGACTCAGAATTTTGATATTCAATTGGGCTGGATTTTTAGTATCTAAAGACAAAAATGTTCAAATCATGTAAACAAAAAATATGTTCATGCTTCGTCCCTGCAAAGTTCAACCTTTCCCAAGAACACTGCCCTCACAGGTGGTGGGCTACTTTGTCTCTACATCATGAAATAGGTTCCATTTAATCACCTTCTGCTAGATGGGAACACATGACTTGTCTGAGATCACATAGCTTCTTACGGAGCTAGATTCTAGGTAAGTCTGACTTTAAAATCTTTACATTGACTGCTCCACTACTGACCTTTAACAGAAAGTCTCTTATTTATTTAACATTGAATGGACACCTACCAAATACCGGGCTGTGAGGTAATTAGTAATTAATAATTAGGGGTCAGTGGTGAATGCGCACATGTGTACATTCATGGGCTGTTATTTGTTATATATATACACACGCATGTACACCCATGTGTACGGGTGTGAGTGTGTGAGCGTGCGGGTGTGACTAACAGTCTACACTGGGAGGTGAATGAGGAACAGCTACAAAGTGCACGGAGGAGTGGAAGTGCTCCAGTGGAACACGGTATAAGGGTCTTGGTGAAGGCTCCAAAAGACATGAAACCTGCCTCAATGTCTCACCGTGAGCATCTTTCCACCCCTTGTGGGATTGAAGTGTGGATCCTGCGGGAACTGGGAGGACATTCCATGGGAAAAAAAGAGCAGATGTAAAAATGTCTTTATTTTTGAATTCTCTAAAGGAATAAGGAATTTGAGTTCGATTATTACTTTCTCTCAACACTTGGAAAGTTTTATTTCCTTTATTTCTGGCATCTCCTGGATCTTATAAATCTCTGATTGTCCTGTCTCTGTAGATAACTGTGTATTTTTTTTCCTCTCCCTGGTTGCTTTATTTTTAAAGATTTGTTATTTATATATTTGAAAGGCAGAATGACAAGGTGAGAGAGACAAACAGACACACACACACACACACACACACACACACACACAGAAAGAGAGAGAGAGAGAGAGAGAGAAAGAGAGAGAGAGAGAGAGAAATGTTCCAAACTTCCGTGGTGGTCTCTATCTGCCTTACTCAGGTTTGAACTCTTACCTTGTTAACTCGAAAGGCTTTGGATTTTGAGAATTGATATTACCACTCCTTCTGCTGACCTAACACCACCAACACCTCCATCCCCACGTCATGAATGGAGTTTGAGATTTTAAATTCAGCCTTTAGTTTTCATACTCCCTTTGATAATAGACCCTTGTATTTCCCCTATATCGCTGAAAGCTTTGTTATAAATTTAAAGGATACTTCTTACATTTTCTGTCAAGTCTGTGTGTTAAATGTGGAAGGGTGTTTGTATTGTTTAATACTTTTATTGAGCTGAAATTTTAAAAATAACGTATGAAGATGTATAGAAATGTGTCAGCTGGTCCATCAGGAATTAAGGGGGTGGGGGAAGGTCTGGTTTAAAACACTGGATAAGGGACCAATATCATGGCATAACATAGATGACACCTCAGCTTTTGATGCTGACATCCCATTTCCTTTTAAAAATTAACATTAAAATTTTTTACTTTATTATTATTATTATCACTTTATGATTCATTTCCATGGGTTCTAGGATTTCCCTTACCCCTTTCTGCATCCCCCAGTTGATTTCCCCTGTATTATTACTACAGTATAGTTCTTCATAAACACTCATACATCCATCATTGCAGGCATGGACAACGGCAAAGAGTCTGGCATCATATTGTCAATAAGATAAAAGGGTTCCTTCATGTTTGGGTGTATGCATAAGGTAGATAATAATAGTGGTGCCATGAGCATTAATAACACCAGAAATACAGTTGAAGCTACAAAGTTTTGTGAGACTCTAAAGCAATTTCACCGCAAGTCAACTGTTTGGAACGTTTCCTCCTGTGTTATCTATCTTAATGCTGTGTTTTAATAGTATGATATGTCTTATACAGGTTCAGAGAGAAAAACAATCACAAAGAAAACAACAGGACAATGTATCAATGGAAGGTGAGAAGCTGACGATAGTGGGGGTGATTCTTTTGTGTCACTTGCCACTGACAGAAATGGATAAAGAATGCTTTTTTTTTTTTAATTGTGTGAGGGTTTGGGCAGGGTTTTTAGATTAGATGGAATGAGCCACCACAAAGTAGGTTAAAAAGAACAAAGGTAAAATGGGTCCAGCGTGTTGGCATAGCAGTTCTGACATCCTCTTTGGGGGGCTTGTTCAAATCTTAGCTGCTCTACTTCCCATTCAACTTCCTGCTAAAGGCCTGGGAAAACAGCGGAAGATGGCTCAAGTTCTTGCAACCCTGAATCCACCATGTCGGAGACATAGAGGAAACCCCTGGCTCCTGGCTTTGAATGGACTCAGTTTCAGATGTTGTGGCGGTTTGGGGAGCAAACCAGTGGAGGGAAGCTCTTTCTTTTTGTCCTTCTCTCTGTATCTCTGCCTTTCAAATAGAAATAGAATAAATATTTAATAAAAGAATAAGTAGAAAATACCATAATATGAAACTCCCATTATATGGAGTGAAGTCAGAGAACCAGAGGAAGAACAGATGGTTATAGCTGAAACTAGAATTTTAAGAATCTTGAAAAGCATGACTAAATCAAGAAGGAACATACAACCCCTAAATTGTGACTTACAACTTGCTTTTTAACTTGACTCATCTTTCAGGAAGGCTCATCGCCAATCATCATGAGTTGTGCCTTTAATGCCTCACACTCTCCAGTCTTCCTGCTCCTCGGGTTCTCAAGGAATAGCATCCCCCATCATCTCCTCTTTGTCCTGTTCCTGGCTATTTACCTGAGCACCATACTGGGGAATGTGACTTTGGTGCTACTCATCTCCCAAGACTCCAGGCTCCACTCCCCCATGTATTATCTCCTCCGTGGCCTCTCTGTGATTGACTTGGGACTATCCACAGTCACCCTGCCCCAGTTACTGGCCCATCTGGGCTCTGAATACCCAGCAATTCCTGCTGCCCGTTGCTTGACTCAATTCTTTTTCTTTTACGTGTTTGGGGTTACAGACACCCTTGTGATTGCTGTCATGGCTCTGGATCGCTATGTGGCCATCTGTGACCCTCTGCACTATGCTTTGGTGATGAATCGTCAGCTCTGTGCCCGTTTACTGGCCTTGAGCTGGGTGGTGTCCGTAGTACACACCATGTTGCATGTGGGACTCCTCCTGCCCCTTTCTTGGGCTGTCGATGCTGGGGGCCATGTTAGCCTTCCCCACTTCTTTTGTGACCACCGGCCACTTCTGCGAGCCTCTTGCTCTGACACTCACTCCAATGAGCTGGCCATATTTTTGGAGGGTGGATTCCTTATGCTGGGTCCCTGCATGCTTATTGTACTCTCCTATGTCCGAATTGGGGCCACCATCCTACGTTTGCCTTCAGCTGCTGGTCGCCGCCGAGCTGTCTCCACCTGTGGATCCCACCTCACCATGGTTGGTTTTCTCTATGGCACCATCATTTGGGTCTACTTCCAACCTCCCTCCCAGAACTCTCGGGACCAGGACATGGTGGCTGCGGTCATGTACACTGCCATTACCCCTTTGGCCAACCCCTTCGTATATAGCCTCCGTAATAAGGATGTTAAAGGTGCACTCTGCAGACTGCTTAAACCAGGGAGAGTCGACTCTTGATTAGCCTGTCAAAGACTATGTCGAGTAGAGAGAAAAATCATGGTGAATTTTGAGTGTGATTGATATGGCCTAGGTGACTTAAGCTGTGAATGTTCATATTCATGCACACAGATCTTCTTGTAACATGCCTCTGGGGCCTCTATATCAGGGTATTTATTTTCACTTAGCAAAATGAATATAAATGAGAAACTAGGCATGGGTAGCTTCAGTTCCAGAGTTCTGAAAGACTCTGAGGGTAGGGTTGTTGACTTGTTAACTATAGCCAGGACAATGGGTTGATGCTAGTCTTGTTTCATCTAGTATGCTTTCTTGTGGAAGTGTGTGGATGTACATCAGAAGGATAAATAGGACTGAAACTTTCCAGTTTATGTCCAGGATGGAATGTGGAGTGACAGCATTCTGCCACTCTGTACGTCATCCTCAATTTATGTGGGTGTTTCAGAGTATGTTCAGATGCATGCAAGTTCTATTTACATTATTCTAATATTCATTTTAAAAATACATAGGTATAAAACTACAGGGTAACTATTTTGCTGGGGTAAAGGATTATTTCAACAATAAAGAAAAAGGTTGGCTCTGTTTAACTGTTTGGCAACTGGAACGTTGGCCTCAACTTCAGTTACTCTAATTAGATGAACATGGTAATTTTGATGGCTCTCAGTGCTGGCCTTTGTGGACTGACCTCAGCCCTTCACTCCATTGAGAGACAGCTTTTCTCAGACTATAATGAAGGATTTTCTGCGTCGAGGATTTGCAGGCTATTCATGGCTTTCCATTTATGAAAACTTCAGAGGAGTACTGTCATGTGGGCACTTTCTACAGCAGTGATCCAGCCAAACCGAGCTTCCTTGTGCCCTCCCCTTCCTGTGTGCCCTGAGCGCCACCTCTGTCCCTCTCTAATTGCCCACCTGAATCCCAAAATGTTGTCTAGATTTCTGAGTTCTGTGTATTTCCCAAATACAATCTATGTATTTTTCTGATTTACTTCTTCTCAACCAACATCTCCTGTTGCCCACAATCTTTTATGTTTTTAAAAATACTGGCAAAAAATTGAGTGGTCTCATTTCAACCTTTAGCTCACCTATCTTTGAGTTTCCTAGATGTTTCTAATATTCAGCTACAGATGAGATCATCAGACCAAAATCTGATGTGCTTTGAAGTTTGTTGATTATTCCTAAGGTCTTGCATTTGGTTGCAAGTAGCAGCTAAGTTATATAGTAATTATCAGGTATGGTTTTAGGTTCCCTCCACTCCTCCCAACAACTTTAAGAGGCACGTGCTATTATTATTCCCATAGGACACAAAGAGAGAGCAATAACTTAGTAGTTAATGTCAAGCCTTGATAGTTAGTCTAAAAAGCTCCCATTTACTTGTATGCCATATTGCCTCTGCAAAGTGAACTCTTCTGTTCTCGTTGGCTTAAACCCAGAGTACGTCTTCATTATCTTCCTTGCAGATTGCTAATGGCCTCCTAACTGCCATTGCATCTGCAGCTCGTGGTGTTAGTCCTACAGAGCATACTGTATAGATGAGCCCACGTGCGTTAAAATTGGAGTCATAAGGCTGTTACTCCACCCTTTAATTGTTACATCCTTACTGTGATATTTTGTTTGAGTTCTTTGCATCTATGAGCCTAAGTTCATCTGCACTACTTTCCCGTCATAGTTGCTTATGAGTCTGACAACATGTATGTGAGTGAGTTTTGTAAACTGTTAAATAGTATGGAAAAATCTGTAATTATTTTGGTCTATTTTTTCAAGTGCGTATGGCATCATTTTTTTAAAAGTTGGATTGTAACGCTGAAAAGGGAAACCTATTTTGTCCATTTAAAAATTATTTTCCATAGCAGCTGGGCACAAATCAGGTGCCGATATTCATCAACAGCTATACATTTTTCTTACTGGACAAGTGGACATTTGTATACTGCCAGGCTGGAGTCCTGCCTCCTGAATCGCCTTTACTTACTCTTCTATTCTTTTCCCTTCCTCATCTTCCTCCATTTATTCTGTTTCTTCTGATAGAATTTTCTATTACAGACTTTAGGTGGAACTTACGTTTGTAATGATTTGCACAGAACGCTGGGGCTGCCAATCAGTGGATCACAAACTGAGGAGTTGAGGGGCAACTTCCTGGGGTGCTTTATTTCATTCAAAAAATATCCTTCTGGAGCATAAGAATTCTATAATTTCTCATTATGATAATTTATACATAATTTCACCAAATTACTAATATTATTTCAAAATAACTTTCCAAGCTGTTACACTATCGCTGTAACGATCATAATTTTCATGGTTTGTTACTACTTGGTGATGGGGACCATTTAAAGCAACCTTACCTCATTCTGCAAAAGAGAACAAATTGGCAGGAAAGCTTCTGGCCTTAACCTTACCCACTGCTTAGACTCAGGAAGAGGAAGGACTTTTCTCATTAATAATCCGTATATTAATTGGACCACTTCCAACATATGAATATATGAGATTACTTGCTTCCAAAGTAGAAAGCAAGCTCCCCTGCTTGCATTCAATCCCACACGTTGAATTTCTATGTCAATGGTTTGCAACCTGCAGTACTTCAGAAATACTTGGTTGCTCTAAAATTATGTTGCTGACTCATCTCATCACAGATCAGTGAATACTGAATCACTGTGGTGGGCCTGAACAGATGTATCTTTATGGCTCTCCAGGTGCAAGGCGGACTTGCTAACCATGGCTCTGCATGAACCTGACTGTCCACAGGCACCTTTACAAGAAGAGGTTAGAGGGAGTTGGCTTACCCTCCTTCTCTGCTCTCAGTGAGGATAGAAGTAGTTGGCTCTCTGCAAACCAGGAAGCAGGACCTCTCCAGGCACCCAATCTACCAGCACCTTTATCAGGGACTTCCCAGATGCCACACGTGTTTCCATCACCCAGCTTATGGTAATTCATCAAAGCAACCCTCACTGACTTAACTGCTTTGTAATGATATATTTTTATTAATGTAGATAGATTTTATGTAGTTTGTAGATACAATTGTAAGAATACCATGATAATTCCCTCTCTTGCTCACCTTCCCTTTCTTTCCTTTTAAATGCTTTTTTTTTTTGCAATAATATATTAATAATTTGCTCTTTAGCCACAGGCTTAATGTTTTATGCACTGAGGACTTAAATGAGTAAAAATTAGAAAGACCACATAATCATAGCGCTAAGATATCATAACATAGCTGTTGATGGTCTTGTTGTATTAATACAAAGAGAACAGAGTTGATGCATTCCGATGCTACAGTTCCAAGAAGCCAAAAGCACTTCTCTTGCTCCCCTGCCTCCCACCCAATACCCTTCCTTCCCTTCCTTCTTTCTCTTCAATATTATTTACAGAGTCATAATTTTAATCCACTCTGCAGCCACAGGTTCAATTTGTGATTAATCAAAATAGTCAAGAAGTAAAAAGTAAGAAGACCACACACAACACCACATTTCTATTGGAGTATAAACAAGGACTAGAAATGGTAGTCCTATCCCAAAATGACTGTTTCACTTCTGCACTGGTTTGTGTGTTCTATATCAACTGTCATATACCAGACAAAACATTTGATATTTGTAGTTTTGAAATGGGCTTATTACTCTAAGCCTAACGGTTTCTAGCTGTATCCCTTTTGTTGCAAAAGATAGAATTTCAGTCTTTGTTATGGCTGAGTAGTATTTTATGATGTACATATACCACGTTTTTTTATCCATTCATTTGTGGATGGACATCTATGCTGGTTGCATGACTTACCTGCTGTGAATTGAGCTGCAGTAACATGGATGTACAAATAACTCCTTTGTAAGCTGATTTGATTTCCTTTGAGTTATCTACGGCCATACCACCCTGAATGCGCCCGATCTCATCTGATTTCCTTTGAGTAATTCCCAGGAGTGGGTTGGATTGATGCTATGGTAGGACTATTCTCAGACCTCTGAGGAATCTCCAAAATGGTTTATTGCTTTACATTTGCATCAACAGTGAATTAAAGTGCCTTTTGCCTCACATGCTTACCAGAATTTATTGGCTATTTTTTTAATTTTCAAATGCTAGTAAAAACTCATCATGGTTTTTATTTTCATTTCCTTGATGGCTAATGAACCTGAACGTTTTTTTATATGTCAGTTATACAGGGGCTTCTCTTACTTCCTTATTTCTTCTTACTTATTTTATCTTATTTCTTCTTTCATCTATCTGCAACTTTATAAATTTTTCTCCAGTCCTAAGACAATCTTTCTTCATTGCTGAAAGGGTTAAGGAGGTGTATAGTATTTGGAAGGAGAATATATTTGTTAATTCTTATTAGGTATCAAAAACTAGAAAAGGGAAATTTGAAATGGTCAACATTCAAAAGAAAATCAATGACGTTATCATTTATCCTTATAAAATTAGAAAATACTAAAATATTTTTACAGCAATAAATCCCAGTGCTGGTGAAGGTAGACGAATTAAGTACTCTCATCAGTAGCTGGTAGCTGTGCATCCTGAAAGTATCCACTCTTTCATTTAGCAGTTGTGTGCCTGGGAATCAAGCTAGAAAGCTTTATCCATAAATACATTTACCCAGAAGGATTTGTATAACAACATAAACCTACAATTGTAAGAAAATGGCATACTAGATAGGGCCATGTCCATCAAGAAAGTGTTTACTAAGTTTATGCAAGGATACAGAACCATGAATGGCATCAAACAAATCATTTAATCAAAGCATTATTGTATCTGGGCAAGATGCTTCCATGGGAAAAGGAAGTCTAAAAAAATAGTTCCACAAAGATTAAGGGTTCTTTTTCCTTCCTTCTTCTTTTAACATGTTCAAATTTGCTTTTTGAGAAATAAATAAAGTATTTATTTATTTGAAAGGTAGAGAAAAAGATAAATGAAAGAAGAAAGAAAGAGAGCATGAAAGAGCTGTAGCTCCCATCTACCGGTCCACTCCCCAGATGCCTGAAATAGACTCACCAAAGCCAAAAGTCGGAAATTCGATCTGGGTTTTCCATGTGAGCGGCAGGAACCACTACCCAAGCTACCACTGATTGTCAGGGTGAAAGGTAGCAGGAAATTAGAATTAAAGAGTCTGGACTTGAATCACAGGGATGTGGGTGTGACCCAACTGAGATCTTAACCCCTAGGCTCGCCCAATGAGTTAAATCTAGCTTTACAATGAAAAGCTCGTGTTCAGAGTAAAATAAGTAGAATTACTAAAGACACTATATAAAGATTATATAATCATGTATCTTGATTTCACTAGTTTCATCCACGTGTCCGTACAGAATTCATTCAAATGTTGTAAACTCAGTTTCTTCTTTTGAAAAATGGGAATGATAATAATAAAGTTGCAGGAAGTATAAATGCTACGTTTCTGACATACAGTAATAGTGCAATAAAAGTAAAAACATAGAGCATTGATAGTAAAATTCACAACTAATCAGTTAAAAACTCAATTTCTGGGCCCGGCACAATAGCACAAGTGGTTAAAGTCCCTTGCCTTGAACGCCCGGGATGCCATATGGCCGCCGGTTCTAATCCCGGCAGCCCTACTTCCCATCCAGCTCCCTGCTTGTGGCCTGGGAAAGCAGTCA